GGGTGGAGTTGCCCTGCCCCCCTGTGGCGGGGGATGGGCTCAGCGGGAATCAGTTTTGGGGGCTTTTGTTCTCTGGCGGCTTTCTGGTCTCTTCCGTGAGTCAGAGCAGAAGAGACCGTTTCCAACACTCTGCCTCAGAGCAGAGAGACCGCAGTCTGTTCTTCAGTGAGCTCTCCACACCACACTGTCTCCGTTTCTGTCTGTGCTGCTATAAACTGCAGGGTCCTGGTTTGTGTGCCCCTCCACAGTGCCCCCAATCCTGCCTCCAGGTCGGGGCACATCTCTGCCCTTTGTGCTTCTAAAACCACCAGCCGCTCCCAGGTCGCACGTGTGACCCCGCCGCTCCGGGTTTCCCCCCAGGGGGCTGCCCTAAAGTCCTTTCCCCGCTACCAGTCTGTGTGTCTGTGCTCGTCCCCAGCGCACGAGGCTGTCGCTCACTGGCGGTGTAGGATCCCCACAGACAGGCTTCCTCCTCCTGCCGTTTATCCTCTGATATCTGCCCGCAGAATCAGGGCTCCCCGCTTCATACCTCGAAACCAACCACCTGCAATATTCTGTTTGTAGAGATCCAGATCTTCTTACATCTCAGGTTGGTTTTGTGGGTGCTCAGAGTGGTCTGGTAGATATCCAGCTCAATACCTAGTTGAAATAGGGTCCCCTACTCCTCCGCCATCTTTCCTTCCACCCCGGGCTGCCAAGACGTTCATTAACTGATGAATGGATAAAGAAAAAGTATAGAATGGAATATCACACAGCCATAAAAAATGAAGGAAGTCCTGCCAATTGCTACAACACGGATGGACCTTGATGGCATTATCCTAAATGAAATAGGTCAGACACTGTGTGACCTCACTTATATGTGAAACCCAAAAACACTGAATTCATAGAAACAGAGAAGTGATTGGGGGTTGCCAGAGGTTAGGGGCAGGGGATGTGGATAATGGATGAAGGAGGTCAAAGGTACCAAATTCCAGTTATAAGATAAATACGTTCTGGGGATGTAATGGATAGTGTGGCAACCGTAGTTAACAATACTTAATTGTATATTTGAAGGATGCTAAGACAGTAGATCTTAAATGATGTCATCACAAGAACAATAAATTCATAACTGTGTGAATGATAGATGTTACCTAAATCTGTTGTGATCATTTCACAGTATGTGCATATATCAAATCATTATGTTGTACACCTTAAACTAACCCTAAGGTCTGGGTCAATATCTCCATAAATCTGGGGGAAAAGAATACATACTCTAAAGCTACAACTGGGTTGCAAGTTTTACTCATAGCCTTATAGAGGAGAAAACTTACGGTTAGCCACACGATTCTCAGTGTTCCTAAGATAAATACCACAATAGCATCTCTCTGAGTTACCCTCATAGTCAGGATCCTGGTTATAATGAACAATGTCTGAGCCACATCTTTATTGAAAACCGTAATACACTTCTTGGGGATGATTCTTGTATAAATCCTCTGTTTGTGTGGTGCCCACATCACAGCAAAGCAGCAGGACCCTATGACACCGGTTTCCTCACAGGGAAAGTGCTCTCATGCTGGTAGGATTCGGAGTTCTAATATTTCATGTCTAACATTGTCACTGATGAACTGTCCATAGTGCTTTTCATTTTGTTTTAACATTTTTGTTTTTTTAATCAACATCCCAGTTAATCTTTGTTATGTTTCTTCATGTGAAAACTAAAACTAATTTTGCCCAAATAATGTGCACACTTACAATATTGTTTTCAGGCATTTGCAGTATAAATGGAATGACAAAGAGAAATTGTGCTATGTGTCTCAAGGAGACGCCAGCTTCACGTACGGCTACGAGTACCTGGGCTGCACTCCCCGGTTGGTTATTACGCCCCTTACTAACAGGTGCTGGCTCACCCTCACTGGAGCGCTGCTCCTGAATCTTGGAGGCTGTCCCACGGGCCCCGCCAGCACGGGCAAAACGGAGAGTGTCAAAGATCTAGCCAAAGTAAGTGCTTTCGGTAGCCAAAAATAATGGTTGTTCTGGTCACGCAAACCTTAACAGTATCTTAAATTTACACCATTCCTGCTATTAAGATGTTCATAACATTTAACAAACACCTTACCACATTTGTTAAGTCGTGTAATTCATCCATTCACTAAATGTCTGCTGTGTGCTGGGACGTGGGACCTCTGCAGGCCAAGTATGCTTCTGTTTACTTGGGATTCGACTGTGCTAACTGATGAGTGAACGGCAGCATCGTGCCCTTCAGTTATGGGTGATTTTGAGCTGCACACAGACTTCAACCTGGTCGTGTGTGTGTGTGTGTGTGTGAGAGAGAGAGAGAGAGACAGACAGACAGACAGACAGACAGACACAGGGAGAGACAAGTAACTGATGAAAGTGGAGGATATAGTTGGATGTCCTGGAATGATGTCCCCATTGAAATGCTTTTTTCTTAGTTTTTTATTCATTGATGTGTTTTAAAAACATGACTTTAGCGTTCCATGCACTAATCAACCTAACTAATAGTGTATGTGCATTTATACTCTACTAAGTTTTGTGTATTTCTAAATTTGGTATGTAATTCAACTGGAGATTGCAGTTTTCTCAAAAGACTAAAGACATTTTATTACTCTGGAAGTTTTAGTGTTAGTATTTTGTGTCATAATTCAAGAGATCTTTTAAAATAATTTCTTTGTTTCTCAGTCCTTAGGCAAACATTGTGTGGTCTTCAACTGTTTTGAGGATTTGGATTATAAGGTAAAGCTTATTCATAGACATGCAAGAAAAAAATATTGTGCACATAAACGAAACAATTCATTAAGGATTGAAAGAACAAGAAAAATATTTCCCTTAGAGAGACATTAAGTATTAACAGAACTGTAAATGCTATTATTCTAAATTAATAGAATAGAAACTTAGAATGTAATAGAAACTTAAAACACTATGCAATTTGCTTTTATGCAACTGAATTACTTCTTAAGACAGTGGTTTTCAAACTTTTTGACAGGGGGATTTTTCCAAACAAAATCTGATATGGAACATGAATTTATTAAAAAAACTAAGAGTACTGCTCTATTAATCTAAGTTTATTTTATAATTTCTAACCCTATACTTTTACTTACTGAAAAGGTAATCATTAAGAACAATGAGGCTATTACAATTACCACAAAAATTTGAGTCAGGGTTTGTATTGATGATTACAATTTTATGTCAGCCTTACTTTGTTTTGGTGGCATATTACCAAAGACACAGCTCATAACATTCTGAAATATTTATTGAAATGTCCTGTACCTCTGTGCCGGTCACAGATTTACTTAAAGTTTCAAAACACTCCCATTTATTTTGTTGTGCATGTTAAGTCAAACCATTTACCTTTTATTACAGTCATTGTATTGGCAGCTAAAAGCACATTACCTGTGAGATCCTGCATTTGCAGTTTGTGCTCAGTTAGCACATTAAAAATACCAATAAACATAAATCAGCTGTTTGCATGAGTATTGTTAAGACATAGGGTCCCTAGTTTCCTCCCTGGGACTGCCCTTCAGTGGGGTGAGCAGGGCTGGGAGCAGCAGAGTGGGAGCCAAGAAACCTGCTAATCAAGATAAATTATCTTTTAATGCAATACTTTTTTAGAATCAAAATTAATCCCAGAAACCCCATGATAAATGAAATATCAAAATGTTCAGGAAAGACACAACCTGATTCCCGCAGCCAGTGGGAAGAACCGGTTGGCCTTTGTGTCTTGGGCCCAAGGGGCTCCGGTGTGTGCTCCCCACTCCGCCCTGAGAGCAGACATTCCCTCACCCGTATTCATCCACATGTTTTGTGTTGGGCCTACAGTGTTCCGCTGGTTTCAGCTGCCAGCACGTAGGCATCACTAGGTTCCCCACACTGGGGGCCAGGCCGTGTTGCCCTGCATCAGCCAGGGGCTCTCCGTGGTCGTGCCCAGTGTGCTGGGGGAGGGGGGCGGGGAGGGCATGCACTGGCCTTGGGGAAACTGCGGAGCGGCACGGAGCCTGGGCCTACAGAAAGCTTTCACCTGCGTGTAATTGTTTTCAAGATAATGGGAAAATTCTTCTTTGGACTGGTGCAGTCGGGAGCATGGTGCTGTTTGGATGAGTTCGATCGGATTGACGTGCAGGTCCTATCAGTGATTGCGTCGCAGATCCTCACAATCAAGGCCGCAAAAGACAGCTATTCTGTCAGGTACAGGGTGGATGTGTTTGGTCACTTAATGTTCGATATTTCTTCTCCAAGAAGGGCTTGGGTGTTGTTTTCTTCCTAAACACAGACCAAAAGGAATGACATCTTGGATGTCTCCTTTGCTGGGCAAGTACCGTGCAAACATATGTAACTAACCTTCGTGCCAGCCTAGGATACCCAGGCTCCCGTCCAGCCTTGGAATGGTCTCTGGGCCACCAGGACAGGTCACAGATCTATCCAGTTACTTTTACTTTGGGGTTTAAATTCCCTTAGTACCTTTCCATGTTATGATGTTGCACTTGAAGAAACCGAAGTATTTTTCTTTAATTCTACAGCTTTTTAAAAAACAAATTATACTGGCCACATACCTGAAGCCTCTCTTATCCCATTACTCTGAATTAATATACTTTTCTGTTTTAAAAAATCCTGTAAAAATAATATTTGTATGTTAGGATTACTAACATTTACTAATCTAAGCAAAATTTCTTTCTCCAGAAAAATTCAGGAACTCACATGATTTACTTTATGGGCATAATTGAATTTGTGGGTTTAAAATTTCTATTACAATCTAATATTTCTTTTTTTTTAATTTTTTTTTTAAGTAATCTCTACACCCAGCGTGGGGCTCAAACTCACAACCCCGAGGTTAAGAGCCACACACTCCTCTGACTGAGCCAGCTGGGCGCCACCCCCACCCATATTTCTAATTCAGGCTAATGGACGCTCACTTCTGGTTTTACTCTCAAGGGTTTTGTTCCCACCATTAGAGTCAGTGTCACAAGGCCTCACACATCTGTGGTTGTAAGTGCGGGTCACAGGAGGCCACACGTCACTGGTTTTCAAACACGCCTCACTGTCTGCCAGGCTTTCCTCTGTTCTGTCCAGGGAGTCCTCAGCTTCTGTTCCCAGTGTTCTTTCTTTCCAGCTTCAACCACCCTCACTGGGATCACCTGTCCATAAGGTCACCAGAGCATTTCTCTTCATGGTCCCTATCTCTGGTGCTGACAACAGGACCCTAATCTCCAGGCCAAAGTTCTACTTCACAGCGGTCCCAAAATTATTTGATTGGGGAATTGTGGGCGGGCTGCATTGTGTGCTAACACAAGAACTCTGTGTCATGGGCACTCTTTGCTCTGTGGTGTCACCCAGAGAGAACTCTGTGTCCAAGGGTCTCCTCGGATTCTTTTCCCTGTTCAGTCAGGTCATTCAGGTGATTGCCTTCTGGCCTCAGGCCCCACAAACTCTTTAGACATGATCAAATAAATCTGAAACCCCAGAGCGCCTGGGTGACATAGTCGATTAAGCATCCTACCCTTGGTTTTGGCTTAGGTCTTGATCGCAGGGGGGTTGTGAGTCTGCTTGGGATCCTGTCTCCCTCTCCCTCTGCCCTTCCCATCCGTGCTTTCTCTCCCCCTCTCTCTCAAATAAATAAATCTTTAAAAAAAACCCTCAACCCCAGCAGGGCTCACAACTTTGGCTCAAGATGACCCTCTTCTTTCCCCTTTTAAAATTATTTTTTTCCCAGCATGTGCTGTTTGGATTTAAGTGTAACACAGCCTTAGGAACGTTCCCAAACTCGCTTACTGTTTTAACATACTTTGACTTAGAGAAAACAGTTCTCTTAGTAATGAATACTATAATGGACAGGGGAGGAAAATTTTTCCTTTACCTGTCTAGGTTCTTTTGGCTGGTCTGTTAATTAAATTGGCATAAGATAACAGGAGAAAAGGTTAATTGCATACATACATACATGAGCCTCAGAACAGACATGAGAGGTTCAGAGACAGGCAATTAAGGTTTGTATGCCATCCTGAGCTAAGGAGAAGGGGGAAGGGGTCTGGGGCTACAAAGGGAGAAAAGAGAAGTCACAGGGAACTGGAAAGAGTAAATGTTTGGTGAACAAATATTTGTCGTACCCTGCAGAGACAGCGGGACAGAGAGGAATTTGAATGAACAGGCCTGCTGAGCTCCCCACAACTTACCACACCCGGCCCATATTCTCTGTAGTTGTCTCTGGTGAGAGCTGTCTTTCTGGACCCCTCCCTCTGTCTAAACTCTTAGAAACAGTTAAAGGGGGGAGGTAGAAAGCTCTTTCTGAGTCTTTTGGGCTTTCATTGTCTTCAGCTAAAAATAATGCACATAATGAAGTGGCACATTTTGGGGGGTGCTCATTCTGAACCCCTTCCAATGTCTTACAGGTTTGTACTGGAAGGAAAAGAAATTCGTATCAACATGTCTTGTGCAGTATTTGTCACCATGAACCCTGGGTAAGCATCAGTTCATCTAAGTTAGGAATGGAGGCAGTCAAAGTCGTTTTCTGATATCTTAGCCATGATTCAGTTGTCTGACATTGTAATGTACCATTCACTGCCACCACCTGACTCCCTCCTCTGCCCGCACACTTATAAACAGCTACAGCTCCGTACTCATCCGCATGGGTGGTCTCACATTAAGTTTCTGACTGAGGGACGTTTTCACTTCAGGAATAGCCAGAGAGAAAGGAAAAGGTCAGCTACTGGTCACAAAGGAGACAGACAAAAAAGCGGAGAGTAGCAGAAGGAAGGGAACTTGGTGGTTACAAGGAGTGGAGGCCGGGCAGGCTCCGTAAACACCTGTTGAGGGAACGTGGTGATGGTCGGGGCTGGAGCAACCTGATGTGAGGTGCACTGTGGGAGGAGGCACAGGAAGAAAAGTCGGTAGAGGGGGAAGCTCCTGAGATGAAAAGTACAATAGAAACCGTCTTATACGCTTGTTTTCAAATGAAGGTCAGGTAGGAAGTGAACAGGATTATTCTGGGGAAAACGATATTGTGTGGTTCCTCATCAGAAAAACTGAAAACTGAAAAACTGCTTTTCTGTTGTTGTCGTTTCTTTGTTTTTCTTACCCTCTTAAGGTACAAAGGTCGAGTAGAACTCCCAGATAACTTAAAGTCTCTGTTTCGCCCTGTGGCAATGATGGCCCCCCATTATCAAATGATTACTGAAATTATGCTGTTTTCACTTGGTTTCAAATCTGCAAAATCACTCTCTGGAAAGCTGGTTAGCATTTATGAATTAGCTAGCAAGCAGCTCTCACAACAGGTAACGAACTGCTTCTCTCAACATAAAGATGATTATAGAAAATTCTATAATAAGACTTTTCCGGTATTGGACCAGGGAGGGATGACCTGGGGAAATAATGGAGCAAGAATCCCATCAGCACTTCAAGGTGGCGAGCCAATGTGGATGTGAGGTGATGTGTAAAATCAGTAGGGTTGCAAGCCTTACATCAGGGACCTGGAGAGAATGATGGAGAATCTGCTGTGTTAAATCATGGACTACTTCCTCCATACGAGGAAGTTAGCCTCTATAGCAGTGACTCTCACACTTTTTTGTGCTTTGAGATAATTGGGGGGATTTGTTAAAACACAAATCACTGGACTTTACCACCAACCTTCTGATTGTCTGGGGTGGCCCTTGAGAATTTGCATTTCTAACCGGTTCTCAACAGTTCCTGATGTTGCTGATCTGAGTACCATGCTTTGAAAATGACTGTTCTGGGATATGCTGGCTTAATGAGTATTTTTTTATGACTCAGCATGGTTTGGACAACCAGCCACACTAAGGGTTCTTCTTTATCGTATTCTTTCAGTTCCTCTCTCCATTTCAGAGAAAATTTAATTTAGATACTAATAGTTTTTAACAGCTTTAATACTTGTGACTCTCTCTTTTAAGAAGGAGACTTAGGGGCACCAGTTTGGCGGGGGAAGTGAGGGCCTTGGAAGCTGAATGCAGGCTTTCTTGAGTTACATCATGGTCTCTCTCCACAGGGTACAGATTAGGGATTTAACTGCATAGGATATGCATTTATTTCCAAGTCATCCCATTTTTCCTTCAGAAACTTAATAACTCAGATATTTTAATGCTTTATAGGATCATTATGATTTTGGCTTGAGGTCTCTGAAGACAGTTTTAATAATGGCTGGAAAGAAGAAACAGATGTTTAAATGGTGAGTTGAATTTTGAATTGTTAAGTCAAAGGGAGTTATACAACACAGGGAAAATAATTGGTAAAAGTCTAAGTAACGATGACAAGATAAAACAGGGAGCTCCCAGAATGTCACAGTGAAATATGGTAGAGGTGTTTAAGAACGTGAAAGAAGAGGAAGAAAAAAATGCACAAAATCCCTGGGTACTTTTCCCCCAAAGAACCTAGTCTTTAAAAAAAATGTATCTTACCTTATATAATAAAAGATACACAGTAATAAAAGCCCTCATTTAAAAGAGCAGTAATTTAGGGGTATCTGGCTGGCTCAGTCGGTTAAGCACCTGCCTTTAGCTCAGGTCATGATCCCAGGGTCCTAGGATCGAGCCCCGCATCACGCTCCCTGCTCAGTGGGGAGTCTGCAAAAAAAAAAAAAGAGCAGTAATTTAATGAGAAATGTAAAACCTATATGAATATACCTGTATGAGAAATGTGTAAAACCCATATGAAGAAAACATTTGTGTGTTTTTTTTTAAGATTTTATTTATTCATTTGAGACACAGAGATACAGAGAGAGAAAGCATGAGCAGGAAGAGAGGCAGAGGGAGAAGCAGGGTCCTCTCTGAGCCAAGAGCCCAATGAGGGGCTCTATCCCAGGACCCTGGGATCATGACCTGAGCTGAAGGCAGACGCTTAACCATCTGAGCCACCCAGGTGCCCCTGAAGAAAACATTTGTAAAGGACACAAATGAAAATAGGAATAAATGAAATAATATATCATGAACTTAATATCATAACATCTTAAAGATTTAAAGAGCCTAAATGTTCATTTATGAATGGAAATACACCCCAGTGAATATACCAAAGGTTTCATTTGTTTATTTTTGGGCAAAAGCAGATTCTAAGGTTCACATAGAAAGGGATGTCTCAGTGGCGCAGTCAGTTAAGCGTCCGACTCTTGGTATCAGCTCAGGTCATGGAATCAGGGTCGTGACATCGAGCCCCACATCAGGCTGGACGCCCAACAGGGAGTCTGCTTGGAGATTCTCTCCCTCTGCCCTTCCCCCCACTCGCACTCGCATGTGCACACGTACTCTCTCGCAAATAAATAAAATCTTTTAAAAAAAGAAAGATAAACAACTAAAAGCTATTATAGAGCTTCATTGGTAAACACTGTGGTGCTGGCTTCTGAAGAGAGAGGAGCAAGCCATCAGGACAGAACAGAAGCCCAGAGACAGGACTGCACACGCTGGGCATGTAGTCTGTTGTCAGTTGTGAGGCAAGAACAGACTAACAGACTTTTCAGTGATTGCCTGCCATTGGGAAAACTAAACTGCCATGTGCGTGAAGATGCAGTTGGAACCATGGCCACTGTGATTTACCTGGATAACAGGATCAAAAAAGGACTAAAAACATAAAAGTATTTGAAGAAACAAAATGTCCTTTATATGCTTGGACTACAGAAAACCTTTAAAACTAAGGCTCAAAAATCTAGAAGCTGTAAAGGAAAAGAGTGATAATGGTCAAAAAACACTGTTTGTGAGGTCAGGAGCCGAAGGATGAGCCGGGAAGAAGCATATTTGCAGCTCTCGGTGCAGGGAGTGAGCTCATCCTCATAACACGTGAGGACTGCCTAGAAAACACGGGGAACGAATGGTATGGAAAATGGGCAAAGGACAGTTCTCAGAAAAAGAAACATAAAAGTTTTTAAATATATGAAAATATACTCAATCCCACTCTTAATCAGAGAAATGCACATTAAAAATTGAAATGTTGTCTCTCATCGGATGGGCAAAAATATGAAAGTTGGACGGGACTTTGTTGGTGAAACTATAGGGAAACGGGCATTTGTTTTCATTATTGCTAAGGGGTGGACCTACTTGTGTGGGTTTGATTTGGGACTGTATTCATGTATTACCTATTAAAAATTAAATGAGAAAAACATGAATATGTTGTAAAAGGACATGTCAATGCCATTTACATGAACGCAGTAAATGTTATAGATTGTTTGTGGTACCTAGGTACAGCACCAAGCACAGAACGTAGTGTGGGAGGGGAAGAGTCAGGGATCAGGCTGTAGCTCCACTGTAGTATGTTCTTTCCTAAAAATAAAGGAACTGAGTCACGTATTGCAAAATGGCCTAAGATTGATGGCAGGTAAATGGGTACCTGTTAGGAACTGCTTTGTAATTGGGAAGAATTAGAGACCGGAGTAGCAGGACTCAGCTTCCTGACGTCCTCCGGTCCTCCAGTCTTTCTTACATATGAGTACCTGTTCCAGTGAGGGAGTCCCTGATCCGTGTTCTTCCCATCACAGAAAAGCCTCTGTTCTCCCAGGCGCCTGGACTGCGGCTCCCGTGTCCCGCATGCTGTCAGTCTGTCTGCTGTCACGGGGAGCGGCTGTCTTCTGTCTGTGCTTACACAGCTGTGACAGCCCACCTCCCTGGTCCCCCCAAAGCAGAGTAGATGATGTGATTGTGCGAAGTTGACTGTATTATGAACAGGATTGGGGAATTTTTATCAGAGTAAAGCGCAGCAAGCATTTAAAAATAGACTGTTTTGCTTTTTAAAAATCCCCTGGCCCTCCCTGACACCAAAAAATATCATTGGTCTTCTTGTCTGTCCTTTTCCCTTCCATCCCTTCATGTCCCTCTGCTCCAGCCCGTTCTCCCTCAGGCTCCTGGCTTTGCCTCCAGGCACTGAGGATACCAAAAATGTCCCTCATTTCCAGATGCTTTCTCCCACCTTTTCTGTCTAGAGCGCATTGGCGGATTCTAGCTCTAACTCCCAAAGAGTTCTGAGGTGCTTACATTTAAAAAAATAATCAAGGACCGTGTATTTGCTTTGTAGGTTTGCCATAACCAATCACTACGAACTTGACGTCTTTAAACACCAGAAAGATGTTTCCTCCAAGTACCTGAGGCCAGCAGTCTGAAATCAAGGTTGTGGGCAGGGCTGTTGTCCGTGCAGGGGCCTTGGGGAAGAGTCCGTCCTGGGCTCTGCCAGCACCCAGGGGCTTATGGGCGCATCACGCTGGGGTCTGCTCCGTCTTCCCACTGTCTGCGTATCTCTCTGCCTTGCTCTCGGTAGGAGCACGTGACTACATTTAAATCTGGATCATCTGGGATAAACTCAGTCATGTCTGTTGCTATATGGGATAATATTCTCAGGTTCCAGGGATTAGCAGGTGAATTTATCTCTGCGGGACATTTTTGTCTGCCTCCCGCAGGCAGCTTCTCTGTCAGTCCCAGAGAGGAGGTTTCCCTATCTCCCCTTTGGTTTAGAAAACAAACTGCCCAGGAGCTGGAATCCTAGGATGCCCTTGGTAGAAAAGATTTGCTTTGTCAACAGCTGGAGAATTAGTATCTCTTCAGGTAAACACTTAACAAAACTTACCATAGTAAGCCCATAAAGTGAGTCTTAACTAATTCCAAGAATGGGTAGGTATCATGAAGACAATCAAAATGGGTAAATAATAATAATAATAAGGTTTAATAACTATCCTTTTCTTGAATTTTAGTTGACGTTAGTCTAGAGTTTCATTTTTTATTCTTAAATGACAACGGATATTCCCCATGATAATCTCAGATGCCATCCCCCAAATTATTCTTCTGTAGAACTTTAGTCAAGTCTTATTTTTATATCTAATAGCAAAGTATCATAACAATATAATTATATATACACTGTGATCGCTCCCAGATATAGTGGTCATTTCTTTCTTTTTTTTTTTTTTTAATTTGTTTTCCTTGAATGTAAAGCAAGCTCTGTCTTGGGAAAAAATGACCTCGCTGATACCCAGCAGCTGTCTGACTTTGGTCATGTTGAGTATTACTCTCCCTCCCTCTTAAGTGGCTAAAAGATTAATGAATTCTTTGATTAAAGAACTAAGCAGAGTGGCCGGTAAAAAGTGCTCACTAAACGTTAACTATTAGCTGTTTTTATTAAGGATCAAAGACCTAAGAATCATCTCTGTCCTGATGAAGAGTTTTGGACATTGTCCACAGGAGGACGGGAGAGCCACTCCCACCCAGAGAACGTTTCTTCCTTGGCGTCTCTGCAGTCCAATCATAGGGCATGCAGTTCTTTCTCCTGGTTGCATGTTTAATGTGTACAATATGTACTGAAGTGTTCAATAGGCAAAATATTGTTATTATGGGGCAGTATATATGTGATGACTTCTTACATCTGGGGGCTTTCGTGACAACAACCAGAAACCTTAAGCTGTCTTGAATGGCAGAGGGAGTTCACTGTTTGTCTCCCTCAGAAACTCCAGAGGCGGGCAGGGGAGGATTGCTCTGACGAGGGTTTCAGGTTTATTTGTCTTTACGGGACCACTTCCGTGGTGTAACTTTGACCACGGTTGCCAGCTGCATAGCCTGCAAGCCTGCTTTCCTGGCTTGCCTAGAGATTTTGAATAAATCGCTGTTATTTTTAATTTGATATTAGCTTGAATTCATTCTGTTATTTGCAGAATCAGTGACTGGGGAGTGGACAGTTCAAGACCAGCCCGGGCCCATCTCTGGATCTGGGGACCACATTCACTTCACGCACGCCGCAGAGCTGCTTTGCAGGGAGGGAGGGGAGGAGGGGCTGTTGGGATAGCCACCTCTACAAAGGGATAGTAACGGCCTTCAGTGTCAGCAAAGCATACTTGCTAACTTTATCTTTCTTTTCTTCTTCCATTAAAGTAACACCAATGACCATCTTTCTGAAATGGATGAGACTCCAATCATTATTGAGGCTCTAAGAGAAGCTAGTTTGCCAAAATTTCTCCCCGAAGACGTCCCACGTTTTGAAAAGATGATAGGAGATATTTTTCCTGGAGTGGCAGTTTCAACAGTAAATCAGGTTGCCTTGGAGGTAATAAGACTTTTGAAAACCATCACAAATGATTTAGAGGTGGAGTGTTAATAAGATAAGAAATGACGTAAGTAAAAAAATATTACAGCTCTTCCGGAAACACTCTACTTATGTTCTAATTGGAGGAATAAACATATTCGGAGATGTATTTCCCCTTGGGAGAAAAACAGTGTTGCAGCCTCTGTCAAGGAAGGCTGCTACTTACGTTGTTCCCCGGTTTTCTCATCTTTCCAATGGGAATGATAATGTTTCCTCTTCCTACTTTAAAGGGGTACTTTAAGGATCAAATTAGATCAGAATTATGAAAAAGGACGTTACAATGTGAACTTTTGTGGTCATAAAAATGACGTACTGTGACTGGAGAGCCCCCTATTTCCTCTTACATCTGCCACCTTGCGGTCACCGCCACTGTCCAGGTGGGGTGTCGACCTCTCTCCTGCTGCCCCCGCACACAGAGCCCACAGAGCCCCCAGCAGACGAACCCAGAGTCAGGTCCCCTGACATGGGTCACACTGCCTTTCGAAGTCTGGCCATGTTGGGCTACTTTGCCGTGTGTCCTTTTACCTCCCGCAGCTTTTTCCACCCTGAACCTCTCTCTGCTTTCTGGCTCTTCCTGGGCCCTTATCAGCCATCAGGCCATCAAACCCAGGCATTCCTTTCTCTGGGGCCCTGCCCAATTTTTTGAAACACTGTTTTTTAAGTTTATTTTAAAATATGTGGTTTATGTAGCTTATAGTTTTTTTTTTAAAGATTTTATTTATTTGAGAGAGAGAGTGAGAGAGAGAGAGCACATGAGGGGGGGAGGGTCAGAGGGAGAAGCAGACTCCCTGCTGAGCAGGGAGCCCGATGCAGGACTCGATCCTAGGACTCCAGGATCATGACCTGAGCCGAAGGCAGTTGCTTAACCAACTGAGCCACCCAGGCACCCTGTAGCTTGTAGTTTAAACAGCTTCATAATTATTTCTTCTTTAAATATAGGTATAAGCTATGTGCACAGCCTCATACCTAGCAGGCACAGAACACATATTATTTTGAAGCACACATGAAGCGCTTAGCGAAAGATCATTCATTAGGTTCTGTAGGAAAGGTTGCGAAAATTTCCCTTGCAAACCACCCGGACCAGGTCTTTTATGACACGATAGTTCTTTCATGGTTCTGGTCTAGTTAGATTTCAGTAGGCTCAATTCCGTTGAACTAGAGAGTATTCTCATTGCATTCACATGTTAAAATGCTCTGTGTGGATTTGAACAAACCACTGTCTCACAAGCCTTGCAGTTTCCTGTTTCCGATGTTACTCTCCCAGGCAGGTCTTATTGTCTTAGCTTGGGTTGATGACCTAGAAGTATATTTAATTGTTTTCTTCAAAACACAGCTTTTTATATATTTAATACATCTTTTTGATTCCTAATCTTTTAATATCCATATTAATATTTTTAAATACCTTCCTTTATTCCTCTGTTTTGTGTTTTCCCTCCAGCTGTCTAAGTAAGATGAATAGTTTAATTTTTATTAATGTAAGTTTATAAAACAAGGGGCATCCATGTGGTTCAGTTGGTTAAGCATCTGGCTCTTGGTCACAACTCAGGTCTTGATCGAAGGGTTGTGGTGCAAGCCCCATGTTGGGCTCCGTGCCGGGTGTGGCACCTACTTAAAAAAAAAACAAAACAAAAGAAAACTATATAACTTCATCCAAGCACTGCTTTAGATGTATAGGCTATAAGTTCAGGTAGATAGGGTTTTCCTAAGCATTTTTTCTCAGAAATTTGATAGGATAGTACTTCCTTTCTTTCCTAAGACAAGAAGTTTTTCATGCTTTTAATTTCCAGGTAAAGGATCTTTTTATTTTCTGATTTTGTTACCAATTTCCGGTCTTACTGAATTATGATCAGAGAATATTATCTTTGTTATTTTTCCTTAAGAATTTAATTTAGACTTTTTTATGACCTAATATATAAGTAGTTTTTGCGAATAGTCCCTATGCACATGAGAAGAAGGTATCTTCTCATGGACCACAAATATAAGACAGAGTTCAGTTTATCTGCATTTGTTATGACTGTTCAATTAGCATTTGTTAAGAGCAGCACAGGGGGGGACGCCTGGGTGGCTCAGTTGGTTAAGCGACTGCCTTCGGCTCAGGTCATGATCCTGGAGTCCCCGGATCGAGTCCCACATCGGGCTCCCTGCTCAGCGGGGAGTCTGCTTCTCCCTCTGACCCTCTTCCCTCTCGTGCTCTCTCTCTCTTATTCTCTCTCTCTCAAATAAATAAATAAAATCTTTAAAAAAAAAAAAAAAGAGCAGCACAGGGGACCTGCTGGTGAGCGACGGTTCAACAGAGACACTGAAATAGAGACACTTGTTACTCACGGGTCGTGGAGGAAGTTGGCGGTACAGGCCTCCAGAGCCACATGGGGAGGATGAGGCCAGGTGCAGGCAGAGAGGCCAGCCCCGGGGCACACGCCTTCATCAGGGTCCATGGCCGGACTGCTTTTGGGGTTCCCAGGCTAAGGCTGGATTGGTCAGTTCAAACCAAGCAGAGCGGGATTTTGGTAAGTTCCCCATGGGTGCCGTCTAAGGAGTGTGTAAGGGGAAGGCCCTGGGAGGGGTACATCCTACCAGCAGCGTGCATCTGCTCACGGCTTCGCGGGCCGCCGTCGGGGCCTGCGCTGGTGTGAGGGACTGGTGTCATATCCCCGCAGGCTGTTCTGTGGGACAGAGTGGATGCAGAGGCAGCAGTATCCTGAAGCAGTTTAGCTAAACCCTTGACCCCCTGTTCTCTCTGTTATCAGTGGTGTTGCACATCCCGTAGACAGACTTGCACTTGTTTACTTGTTTTCCTTGGACTCAGGAGTGCATTCATGTCTCCTATTAACACATTCCTGTTCACTCTTAGAATCTCTGCTTCCTAGTGGTCATTACCATGTTGTTGGACACATGAGTATCAATCACAAATCATTATATGAGTTGCACCCTTCAATATGTAGTGCTTTTGTTTTCTTGTCTACAGTTATTTGGCTTGAATTCCACTTTGTTTGTTAAGACAGTTACCCCATGTTTTGTTTGCCTTGTACAGTTTTGGACTTGTTTTTTTTTTTTTTTCAAACTTTATAAATTCCACAAAGTGAAGTGGTTTTTAAATTTTGTTTTATTCTAGATTTTTATGCAGGTTAGTATTTTTATTCTAAGGGTAACTTTATACATCTTTATAATAATATCCCTGGTTTTCTACTTATTTGGATATTATCTGTTAGTCCCTAATATGAACAATGATGTATGTCTTCTTTTCTCCTTTATGCATTTCTGTTAATTGCTGGCCTTAGATAGTTTGAAGATATTAGTGGTATATATATTTATATCTTCTTATTCTTCTTAAAGTCCACATGTGAGTGAAATCCTATGGTATTTGTCTTTCTCTGACTGACTTATTTCACTTAGCAGTATACTCTCTAGATCCATCCATGTTGTTGCAAATGGTAAGCTTTCAGTCTTTTTTTTTGGCTGAGTAATATTCCATTGTGTGTGTGTGTGTGTGTGTGTGTGTGTATCTCACATCTTCTTTAATTCATTCACCCATCAATGGGCATTTGGGCTGTTTCCATACCTTGACTGTTGTAAATAATGCTGGAGTAAACATAAGAGTGCATATTTCTTTTCAAATTACTGTTTGCATTTCTTTAGGTAAATACCCAATAGTGAAATTACTGGATCATATGGTAATTGTTTTTATTTTTCTTGAGGACCATCCATACTGTTGTCCACAGTGGCTACACTAGCACTTCCATCAAAAGTGCACAAGGGTCCCTTTTTCTCCCCATCATCACCAACACTTGTCGTTTCCTGTGGGTTTTGATTTTTTGGGGGGGCGTTCTTTAATTTTTTTTTAATTTTGATTCCATTATGGTTAATATACAGTGTTATATTACTTTTAGGTATACAACATAACAATTCAACAATTCCATATATTGAACGCATTCTTATTCCTCTCCCTCTCACATTTTAGGTATATGGTGGCGTACTTTACATCCTTTTATTTTGTGAATCTCTTGACTGAGTTTTATAGATACACTTATTTTTACCTCTTTTGTGCTTCCTGCTTTTCTTACTCCTGCTTATGGTCTTTCCTTTCCACTCAAAGAATATCCTTTAACATTTCTTGGAGGGCTGGTTTAGTGTCATTAATTCCTTTAACTTTTGTTTGTCTGGGAAATTCTGTCTCTCCTTCTGTTCTGAATGAAAGCCTTCCTGGATAGAGTATTCTTGGCTATAGATTTTTTCCTTTTAGCAGTTGGAATCTATCATGCCACTTTCTTCTGGCCTGCAGAGGTTCTGCTGAAGAATCCACTGATGGCCGTATGGGGTCTCTCTTGTATGTACCTGCTTTCCTTTCTCTTGCTGCTTTTAAAATTCTCTCTCTCTCACTACTTTTGGCCGTCTTATTTACTTTGTGTCTTGGTGCAGACCTCTTTGGGTTGGTTGTGTTGGGGGCTCTCTGTGCCTCCTGGATCTGGTTTTCTCTTTCCTTCCCCAGATTAAGGAAGTTTTCAGCTATTATTTCTTCAGACAAATCTGCCCCCTTTTTCTCGCTCTTCTCCTTCTGGGATCCCTGTCATGCAACTGTTATTATGCTTGACAGTGTCGCTGAGTTCCCTGGGTCTATTCCCATTTTGCATCATTTTTTTCTCTCACTGCTCAGCTTGATTACTTTCCATTACTCTGTCCTCCAGGTGGCTGATCCATTCTTCTACTTCCTCTTGTTTGCAGTTTATTCCAGGTGGTTTATTTTTAATTTCATTTAGTGAGTTCATCATCTCTAATTGGTTCTTTTTTGTTTCTGATCTCTTTGTGGAGCGTCTCAAAAAGTGGAGGTCCTCCTCTTTTTTCTCAAGTCCAGCATGTATCTTTATGATCACTACTTTTAATTCTCTATCAGGTGTATTATCTCCATTTCACTTAGGTCTCTTGCTATGATTTTGTTCTCTTCTTTCATTTAGAACATATGCCTCTGACCCCTCGTTTTGTCTAATTCTTTGTGTCTGTTTCTCTGTCTTAGGAAAGTCAGCTCCCTCTCCTCTTCTTGACGGTAGTGGCTCTATGAAGAATTGGTTCTGCAGTGCCCTGTAGTGCAGTGTCCCCTGTTCCCCAGAACCTGGAGCTTCAGGGGTGTCTCCTGGGTGTGTTGCCTGTGCCCTATTGTCGCTGCGCTGTGTTTGCCTTCGGTCCAGTCACCTGCAGTGGCTCTCTTTACCTTGTGGGCAGGGTTTGGTCCTTGTGTTGTTAGTGGGCCAGCGTGGGGCTTGAGTTGGGCCAGACCAGGCATTTGCCAGAGCTGTGGTGGCACCAAAGTTCAGGGCACTTTCCCTGCGTTGTCCCCTGAGAAGCTTTCCTTGGTGGGTGGGGCCAGAGTCCAACTGGTGTGTGTGGTTATCTTCCCCTCTCCCTGAGGCAGGAGTGACTTTGGAGTGGTGCTGGCCCCTGTCTGGGCTGTTTGCAACTGCCACGCCTCTGGCACCACTGGGAATGGGCTTCTGTCCAGGGCACATTGGAGGGGGCAGGTGTGCCGGAGAACGTGGAGGGCTGGGATGTGCAGAGTTAGCCAGGTTTGTTGGGTCTGTTCCGGGAGGGGACCTGGAGCTGGAGCCTGGAGCTGGAGCCAAGCAGCTGTTAGTGAGCCAGGTAGAGAGTGTTCCCACGGCACTGGTTCCTGCAGGTGTCCATGTGTCTAGGCTGGGGGTGAGGGAGGGAAATGGTGTCCACCAGCTCCTTTGTTCTTGGAGAAGTCTCCTGAGATCCCTGCTGCTCTAGCATACATTCTGGGATTAGTAAATAAACCTCCTCCTCGTGTGCCCCAGGTGTTTTTCAAACTGCTTCTTCTGTACTCATCTCAGAGGGGCTGCTGGTTCTGCTGTCTGTTGAAGGACAGGGACTCAGCTTCCTGTCTGCAACTGCTGATTTTTAAAGTTCCAGGTGGTAAGACCCACTGATTGTAAGAACTCACAAAGTTAAGCCCCTCTGGTTTCCAAAGCCAGTGTTACAGGGATTCTTCTTCCTGGTACAGGTCCCCAGGCCTGGGGTTCCTGGGCTGGGATCCGCTCCTCTTCCATGCCTGCGCCCATGGGTCCCTCCCTCCTGCGGACAGCGTCACAGGTCCATTTGGTTCCCAGCTGTGTCTCTGCCCATCCTACCCTCTTCAGTGTGGACTCTTGTCTACATTTAGCTGTGGAGAGTCTGTCCTGCCAGTCTTTGGGGGATTTTCTGGGTCATTTACCCTGATGTGAGTGTTATCTAATTGTATCCAGGGGATGATGTGAGCCCAAGATCCTCCTACTCCACCATCTTCCTTGCAGGTCTCTCTGGAAGCTTTGAAAACTTTCATTTTGTCTTTGATATTCTAAATCTCACTTTAAATTCTCTAGTTGTGTGTTTTCTTATTCTGTTAGCCGTTTTAATAGGGAGCCATTTATTTTTAGTTCTCTATGTTGACAGGAAGGGGACTTCAGCTGTGAGATTCTTTGTTGCACATAGTTCAGTGAGTTGGATTTTTCCAGACCAAGAAATTGTAGGTCCAAACTATTTTCATAGCACTTACATGCGTTTTAGGTTTTGTAGATTTTTCCGTATTCTTACTTTAATGAAGATGCAGTTTGAGATCTCTGGTCGCCTGTCTTGCGGGGTCTTGCCCGTGCGGCGTCCAGGAGACAGATGGCGGGTCGTCGCACCGAAGCTAGTGCCGACATTTTGCATATTTATACTTACATTTTGAGGATTTTCACTCTGCTAAAAAAAGGGAAGGAAGATGGGAGTTGACAAGTTTTGCTTTCTTTGTCTTATATAAACATCTTTCCATCTCTCCCCAGCGGGGCTATGCATTCCTTCCTCTCCTTTAACATTTTCCAAGTCCCGGCTAAAACAGCATTGCCGTCACAGGAGCGTTTCGAGGTGCGCACGGGTGGTTTGAACCTTTAACCTTCTTATATACTCATCTCTTCATCAGTTTTACAAGCATCCGTTTATTCTGCTACTTTCCCTTCGTATAGTTTTTACATTGGTAAATATGCAGGCTATCAACTGTTAAATAAATAAATAACTGTTAACAAAATGTTGCCAAATAATATATGGCTCAAGAAATGGTACAAAGTTCATAATTTATAGGTTTAATATTAAATTTGGAATAATCCAGTCTTTTATTTAATGGGGTATATTTTTGATGGTTTACACAGTGACCAGTCACATACAGCATATCCATATAGGAATATATGTTATTAAATAAATATATTGTAGGTGTGCTGTTTACACTTCTTGTTCATTTGAGATACAAGAATCTGAATTGCATGCAATAGACAATTGGAATCTATCCAACTTATTCACATTTCTGTCTCTAACAATATCTACGGTGTGGGGGTGGGGCTGTCGTTAACTCAGGGCAACCATAGGATTAACAGAATTACCGAAACCATATCCTGGAATAAATGATGTATAGTTTGCCATGCAGTCGACTCTACAGAACATCATTGACAACCATAAATACTTTACAGTAGGAATATGATTTTATTTCAAAACCTTCCAAAGTAAGGAATTGTGAAAATCTTTAACCAGGAGGGATGACCTGTCTGAGTACCTCTTCTTTTGATTATCCCACCTCTGCTGATCCTCTGTGTATCCCATGCTATCCCTAGTCCACTCCTGTGGACTGTTGGCTTACGTCCAGGCAGGTGTCTAGGTTTTTATTGTCTGTGACAGAGAATTCCTAGCCCCCGCATCTAAAACTGCTCCACATTCAGGCCTTAAGGGCGTGTCTCATCACCTCCATTTAAAAGAGGTTACTCTCATTGCACTACTGGGTATTTACCCCAAAGATACAAATGCGGTGATTCAAAGTGATTCAAAGGGGCACCTGCACCCCGATGTTCATAGCAGCAATGTCCGCAATAGTCAAACTACGGAAAGAGTCCAGATGTCCATTGACAGTTGAGTGGATAAAGAAGATGTGGTACATATATAGACAATGGAATATTATGCAGCCATCAAATGGAATGAAATCTTGCCATTTGCAATGACGTGGATGGAACTAGAGGGTATTATGCTACGTGAAATAAGTCAGAGAAAGACAATTATCATATGATCTCACTCATAGGTGGAATTTAAGAAGCAAAACAGTTTCCTATACTCTTAAGTATAGGAAACAAACTGAGGGTTGCTGGAGGGGGCGGGGATGGGGTGACTGGGGCATCACATGCCCTCCTTCATGCGATGGAATGAGCACGGGTGTTCTATGCAACTGATGAATCACTGACCTCTACCCCTGAAACTAATAATACACTATATGTTAATTAATTGAATGTACATAAAATTAAAAAAAAATAAAAATAAAAGAGGTTTCTCTCAGCTGATTTCCTACCTCCAGTAGCCTGGCCACAGGAGCTACATTTTCTCCATTTGTACAGTCCTGCTGAGTGTCTGTGTCTCCTTCGGCGGCACCTTTGTCCCATCATGGGAATGCAAGGAATGAGAAATGCAGTAGGAGAGGTCAGTGAGGAAAAAGATAGATCCCACTTTTTTCTGTAGGCACCGTTACCGATAGTATTGACACTGAAATAAACCCCACTTTATTTTTGTTTGTTTGTTTGTTTGTTTGTTTGTTTTGAGATAGAAAGAGAGAGAGCACTGAGCCAGGGGACAGAGGGAGAGGGAGAAGCAGACTCCCCGCCAAGCAGGGAGCCCGACGCGGGGCTCGATCCCAAGATGCTGGGATCATGACCTGAGCTGAAGGCAGATGCTTCACCCACTGAGCCCCCCAGGCACCCCTGAACCCCACTTTAGAAAGAAACAGGGCTGCCCTTATAATTCCCGCATTAAAATATAAAGAATATTTCCGAGCTGCAGCCACTTACTGGATGTTTTTACTATCCTAGAATATTCTTAACAGTGAAACATTAAAATAATTGTTACAAATCTGAAAAACTACCTTAATGTGATTGGAATTACACAAAGATATAGACTCTTTTCAGTTTTTTGTGTATGATAAGTAGGCAATGGTACTATGGTAACAATTCTTAAATACATCTTAAAGAATGAATTCTTCTTTTTTTAAAGATTTATTTATTTAGAGAGAGAGCATGAGCTGGGGGAGGGCCAGAGGGAGAGGGAGAGAGAGAATCTCAAAGTGACTCCTTACTGAGGGAGGCGGGGCTCGATCCCAGGACCCTGAGATCGGGACCTGAGCTGAAATCAAGAGTTGAATGCTCAACCGACTGAGCCTCCCAGGTGCCCTAAGAATGAATTCTTAAACTGGGGGAGGGTCTATAAGTTTGCTTCCGGGGATCTGTGAACATAACATATTGTGTGTATTATATTTTGGGGGTAAATAGTATCTCAGGTTGGTGAAATTAAGAACTACTGTCTTAAAGTGCAGTATTCAGTACATCGTTAAGAGAGATTTTGTAGGATTATGTATTAAGGGTTTAATTTGCAATGCACTTTAAATTAATGTATTTATTTTCTTTAGAAAGCAATATTTATTGCAACACAACAGTTGGGCTTACAACAATGGCCAGCTCAGAAAAAGAAGATCGTACAGTTTTATAATCAACTTCAGGTAAGTGTGGAATGGCATGTTAGCAGCTCTTTGCTCCTGAATTTTAATAGTTCTGATCAAGGAGAAAACCAGGATAACAATGAAGTGATTGACTCGGTTATTTACCCAGATGTGGTTACTCGACCCTCACTTAACTTTGAACAGATTAGTCTTCTTCTGCTTTGTCCCCTTTCTACGTGATTCTAAACACTACACACGTGGTATAAATGTTCCGCCTCACATAGCTGTACCTTCTTTGAATTTTCTGTCCCCATGAATGAACCGTTGGAAAAGACGGTGCATTTCCCTGATGATTAGTAAAATTGTACATTCTCATATCTATTTCTTTGCCATTTGAGTTTCTTACAAATTGCCAGATTATGTAACATACTCATTTCTCATTTGGGTTTTTTGTCTTTTTCTTACCAAGTGTGTGTAGACTTTTCATTATACATTTTAATATCCTATCTCCTTATTGTTTATATGCATTACAGGTAAATTCTCTAAGTCTTAGGTTTTCAGAAATGTTCCTAGTGTTCCGTGGTGCAGGAGACATTGTTAATGCAGTAAAGTCCATTGATCTTGTTTTATGGTTTGTGCTTTTGTGAATTTTTAGAAATCTTTTCTATCCTATTTCATGAAGATATTTTCTATGATTTTTTTTTCTAAAATTTTTTTATATTTGCATTTCCTCCTTTTAAATTGTCTGGAATTTTTTCTTTAAGATGCCAAATATGGATCTATTTTTTCCTCAGATGGATAACAGTTTTCCCAAGACTTTTCCCCACTGATTTGCTATTTCTCTCACATACCATGTTTCCAATCTAAATTTTTCTTTGTTGATTTCTTCCATATTTTATTATTTTGGTCTTTATCTTATGACAACACCAGTCTTAATTGCCATAGCTTTACAATAGGTATCCATATCTGGTAGTACCAATTGTAAGAGAAAAAAAAAAAGCTATCCCTGACCCTCTTAGGGTTCCTGGCTGAGTCTGAAAATCAAATTGACAAAGACAGATTAGCAGGAAAAAAGCATGCACATTTTACTGTATTTGATATTTTTTTAACAAGGGAGCCTTCACAAGAGAATAGAGAGACCCAAAGAAGTGACCGGAACTGGAGGCTTTATACCTTTTAAATAAAGAAACAATGACTTTGTGCAGAGTCGTCAGGGCAGAGGGGTTTGGGCTGGGGGTGTAGTAGGTGTGAAGAAGTAACTAGGAAGATAGATACGGGCAGTCAAACCAGGTTTGCTCATACAGCCTGTCAGCCCCGCATTCCCCATAAGGATGTTTCTGTCCTTCGGGGACGAGGAGGGCACCTTTCACGTGGGACTTTTATGACCTGTTTCAGGGAACAAAGGTGAGGTGGGGGAGGTCAGGGTGAGCTTCCTACTTCTGCAGTGGGAAAAGACTCCTCCAGCTTAATCGGTCTAACCCGCCAAGGTCGGGGTGCCTATCTTGTCCTGAGCCTGCCATAATCCTCCCTCTTTGTTATTTTCCCGATTCTTCGATAATCAGTTGATTGACTGCCAGTAAAATAATAAAAATTAAAATAAAAATTTAAAAAATCCTAATAGGATTTTTATTGGGATAGAATTGAATGAATAAAAAGAAAAAAAAAAAAAAAAAAAAGAATTGAATGAATAGCTGGTGGTGAGAATTTTCATTTTATGATATCACATTTTTCCTTTCATGAATACATTGGGTTGATTTAACAAGTTAGCCTGGTACAGCTTCACAGTGGCAGAAAGCACTAGACTCCTGGGTCAGAAAGGACTGTTTATCACTCAGCAACAGCAGTAGCCATGTCCCCAGGATTTAATCCTCGGAGGATGACACAGGGTCAGGTGATACCTGCACACATGGTATGTTGTTCCGCAGAAGAACCCCACACTTTGGGACACTGCAGTCTCATGAGGGGACGACCAGCAGACATTCCAGCCTTTGCTCATGAAGGAGACATTATCTTTGTTATTCTGGACAGCAAGTTAACGTTCTCCATCCTGGTCTTCCAAAAACTGTTTGCTATACAAACATCCTTGCAAAGATAGCCCTAAACAAAGCTTTCGATGCCTCCATTCAGAGGCATGTAGAAATGTCAGTGACTATAAAGAATTGTCTCCCCAGAATTCCACTCCTCATTTACACACTGTCTTGGCTTCTGCTGAATTTTCCCATGGCCACTCTGTTGACTACTCTGAATAATCTGACTGCCAGAGGCTGGCACCAAATATATTCAACTTATTTCATACAGCGTTTAGCTAGAGCCTCTATCACAGTAGGCTGGAGCCAACCTAAATTATTAATCTCAACCATGCCCATCCAGGGTTCTGGGCCCAACCAGCTAAACACATCAGAAGCCATCAGACTGTACCATAGAAAGCCCGATGGATTTCTCCTGAAGCTGCTATAGTGACTGTTCCCCTTGGTCCAAAGGATTAATCCAGGTAGATCTAGATTCTCAGCTGTATAGATGTTGTCTTGGCCCAAGAGGAGGAATGGACTCGGGCCATTCTTTTACCATAACAACCCTGGACAGTGAGTTGAGACTGATCTGACTGCCTTTCAGGGACCAGTTGATGTTTCCTTAAATGCTGGATTTTTAACATTTTAACCGCCTCTGAGGTGCAAGTTGCATTGTTCTGGGGAAGGAGACAAGTTAGTGCCTGACTTCTACATAAGAAATACAATCCTAAGGGTATACATGGTACCCTTAGAGTTTCTTAATAGCTGTTGGGTTCCCCAAATCGACTACAACAGTTCAAGCGGTACAGTTCTCAGTTCAGTTCTAATAATTAGATCTAGTTCTTTTTTTTTTTTTTTTTTGGAGTGACCACTTGAGAACAAGCAGTCCAGTCTGACCTATTTGCCATATCATGAGCCTGAGGGCATTTATCTGTTCCAGAAAATGAATGAGCAATGGAATTAGGAGTGGGGAATATATGCAAGACATCTTGGGCGATGGTCAGGTGTTTTGCCTGGGACATGCAGGAGCTGAGGGCAGCCCTGCTGCTTCTGATAGATTTCTCCGTAACATTTAGGGGAATAACAATGACATCACGGTCAGTTCCATTAGGTAGGGGGTGGCAGTCCCAGCAGTTAGTAAGATGAAAGGCTCCTAAAGTTGTTTGGGATACCCCCTTTGCGAGGAAGGAAAGAGAGAAAGTTCTGAAGACGAAAGATCTTCAATAGTCATCCGTCCCCCCATATTCCATGGTCTGAGGCGTGTCCCCCCAGGTGTCTGGGTGTTTGCTGTGATTGCATTGCCACAAAATTGGTATGCCCCAGTTCAGCAATTATCCTTATATCCCCAGTCATTATCCTTATGGCCTAAGACCAGGTCAATCCAAGAGAATCCAGGCAGTTGAACCAGAATTAAACGTGAACCCTCTGGGCCCCATTTTGGAATGTGTACAATCAGGGTGGCCTGGGGTTGTCATTAGGGAACAGAAAGAAACACCATGCTCAGGAACGGTTAGGATGAATCCCAAATTCTCAAAATAGATCTCTGTAATCCCCCATCTCTCTTATGCTAATAATTACCCAGGAGGTAGATGAAAGGAAATGATTCCCTTCTAGGGATGTCCACATTCAATGACCAACCCTCCCTGGTAAGGTGTGTGGACAAAGAGAAGGGAAGGGGGATGGAGTCAGAAATCTTTGGAGTCAGTGTTTGAGAAGGCTGTTCCAATGCTCAATAATACCAGATGTGTATGGATGGTAGGGAACGGAGAAGGCCCATAAAATATCTTGACCATCAGCTCATGGTTAAGAGACTCTTGCAATAAAAGGTATACCATTGTCAGACTGCAGATGGTCCAGAAATCCAAATGACATAAATTTCATCTCAAGAAACAATGGTGTGGCTAGAGTTAGCTGATTGGACCGAAACAGGAGTCCCATAGCTTGAAATAGTTAATGTCAGTAAGTCACCACCAATAGCCCCAGGAGAGGGGGCCACAGATCTGATGTAGGACCTGCCAGGAGTATGTGGGGGTCATTCGTGCCCCAGGCAGTGCGACTTTTCCCACCGTGAGACTGGAGTCTGGAGTGCAGCAGTAGTCCCTGTGTCACAAACACACAGTCCTTTGTGAGTTCTGTGATGGAGATCACGTTGCCACATCCAGTGTGACGTGTGTCCAGACAACGATCATGGTAGTCTGGGAAGGGCAGGCTTGATCAGCAGCTTGATTCTGGGTCCTTGTCGTGGGCCCACGAGTAACTCTGGTAGTTTGCTTAGCAGCCCCGATTTGTTTCCACAGATCACAACCCCAGAGAGGATTATCTTTAATCTTGTAGTCTGTAATTTCCCAAGGGGCAGACCAAATAGCTAGGCCACTGCCCAAGCCACAGAGTTCTCACCATGAGCAGACCTGACAACGTCTGCTCTTGGGTCTTCATAGCTGGCTCTGAGGAGGAACAGCGGGAGCCTTCAGGTCTCAGCTAGGCTGAGCCACCAGTAAACCAGACCAAGGCATTGACGGGATCTTTGTAGATCAAGGGCTTCACTGAGCCAGCAGCTTTGCTCCAGGAGGGGAAGTAGGGGGTAAGGTTGCTCCCAGAGGGACAGCTGCCCCTCTTTCACGTAAAGCCAGGACACCAGTGTGGCCAGTTAGGTGCATTCTTGAACATCTAATTCCATTTGTCATGCAAGGCTTCTGGACCCCTTCTCACCTTGCCAGTGATAGACCAGAGAACCACAAACCTACATGAGGATAAAGAGATTAGAATGGAAATGAAAACTATTTTAGCTTTATCCATATTTGAATTTTAATGTGTTTGTTTGATACATTATTAAAGATAATCATTTCTTTAATGCTATTACAATAGTCTACAAGAGATGGTGACGGGCTCTTTTTAAGAGCTTTAGCATCTGACCCTTTCCTCCTTGTCTTAGTCCGTTTGGGCTGACATAACAAAATACCATAGATGGGGTGGCTTAAACAACAGACATTTATTTCTCACAGTTCTGGAGGCTGGGAAGTTTAAGATCAAAGTGCTAGCAGTTTTGGTTTCTGGTAAGAGTGCTCTTCCTGGCTTGCAGATGGTCACCTTCTCACTGTGTGAGATCTCACATTGGAGAGATGTTGAACTCTGGTCCCTCTCCCTCTTGTAAGGACACGAATCCCATCACAGGCCCACCCTCTGGGCCTCATCTAAACCTAATTACCTATCAAAGGCCTCACCTCCAGTAGTATCCCATTGGGTGTCAGCCTCAACATTTGAATTTTAGGGAGACGCAAACATTGGCTCTGTAACACCAATTGTGATTGGGTTGGGCAGAAGAAGATAGGATCAAGCAAATTTTGTAAGAGATGAGGAACTTTGGACAATGGTACTTAGTGGTTTTATTAACTAGATCAGGAAATAAGAGAAGCAACAAATGGGATAAGAAGGTGTAGATTAGATTATGTTGACTCTGAAAATCACGTGAGACATCCAGATGGAAGTATCTGGTAGACCACTGAAATTTCACTCAGGCACATAGAACCAAAGACTGGAAAAAATAAATGCATTAGGAGGTCATTAGCACTTAGGTCGTAGTTAAAGATATTCAAGTTGATGAGATTGGTAGGGCCAACGTAGAGAGAAGAGAGAGAGAGAAGGATGAATTAGGGAAGACTAACATGGAAATGACGTTCAAAACTCAAAAGAGAAAAGACTAGAGAAGAGGAAAGCTGAGATAAATCGTATTACACAACCCAATCTTAGAGAAAAGTACAGAAATAAAGGAGATTTAGAAAAAGATAAACTGTCAAATATCAAGAATTGAAAGTTATCCTTTGAATTTTAAAATTAGGAGATTTCTGTTTACTTTGACATTAATCTAGTCAATGAAAACAGAACCCAGATTATAATAGATTAAACAGTGATTTGAAGGAAGGCTTTGTGAATACAGAGATATAGTACCTTCAGATTTCAACTTAGCTGAACCATCAGTGAACCAAAATTAAATCATAAATCTGCAATTTTGTTTTAGACGTGCGTTGGTGTGATGTTAGTAGGCCCAACCTGTGGAGGAAAGACAACAGTCAGAAGAGTTTTAGAAAGAGCATTAACACTATCACCAGTTGAAGACTTCCTATCAAGTAAAGAAAGGGAATCTATTTCACAGGTAAATACTAAGTAATATGTTTCTCTATTTCTTCAGATCTTACCTTATACTTCAGTAACATTTTATGTCCTATTTACATAAGTATAGTCTTGTTAAATTTATTGCTAGGAATTTTGTAGTTAGGAATCATTGTAGTAAGTGGGATTTTTTTTTCATTTGAATCTCAAACTAGTAATTACTAGTGTAAAATAAATTTATTGGATTATATATTTATTTTATATTTAGTCACCCTCATGGACTGGTAATGTTAAATTGTAATTGTTTTTATAGGTGATCAATTGAATCGTCTTCGAATGAATATAACTTTGTCTCTTGTAATATTTATATAATTTATATTATTGCATTGATTAACCCTCCAAGACAGTGTTAACTGTAATAATATCTTGTTCCTTACGTTATCTGAAATGCAGTTAATATTGCTACATTTAATATGGTATTTGCGGGGTGCCTGGGTGGCTCAGTCAGTTAAGCGTCTGCCTTTGGCTCAAGTCATGATCCCAGGATCCTAGGATTGAGCCCGATGTCAGGCTCCCTCCTCAGCGGGGAGGCAGCTTCTCCCTCTCCCCCTGCTTGTGTTCCCTCTCTGTCAAAATCAATAAATAAAATCTTTAAAAATAATAATAATAATACGGTATTTGCTCTTTGTGTATGATAAGTGTTCTTTCATACATTGGGAATTTTCTTCGGTTCTCATTATACTTTGGTTTTGACTTTTGGAATTTATGAAATAACTTTTCAGAATCTATTTTTTATATTTTAATTGGTTAATAAGCTATGTTGATAGATTTGCTAATGTTAAATTGTCCTTGAATTCCTAGAATAACTCCGATTTTTCATGGTATATATATATTTTAAATGACTAACATTTTTATTTTTTTTTTCAAATTTTTATTTAAATTCTAGTTAATTGTGTAATAATGCTTTCAGGAGTAGAATTCAGTGATTCATCACTTACGTATAACACCCAGTGCTCATCATGACAAGTGCCCTCCTTAATCCCCATCCCCCATCTAGTCCATCCCCCACCCCCCTCCCTCCATCAGCCCTCAGTCTGTTCTCCCTCATTAAGAATCTCTTATGGTTTGTTTCCCCTCTCTTTCCCCCCTTCCCATATGTTCATCTGTTTTGTTTCTTAAATTCCACATATGAGTGAAATCAGATGGTATTTTTATTCCATATAAGGTTAGATTCCAATAAATAATGTGTCCTTCAGTTATCTTATTTAAAGACTCAAGCAGTCTATTCTGAAAGTTTTAGAAAGTCAGGTTTTCAGTTCTGTAGATTTTTTTTCCAGCTAGTGTGCAGTTTCTTTCCATTTTTAGTTCTTTCGGTAAGCAAGAAAATTTGTTTTCTGTAGTTCTCAATATATAAGTCTTTCTCCTTCTTGATTAAATTTATTCCAAAGCATTTTATTCTTTGGATGCTATTATAATAGACTTGGAATTTCTTAGTTTTTGTTGTTGCTGAAGTGTGTTCATTGCTGCTATATGGAAATGAACTGATTTTTGTGTGTTGATCTTGTATCCTACAAATATGCTGGTTCATATATTAGCTCTAGTAGTTGTTTTGTAGATTCTTTGGGATTTTCTATATATAGAATCATGTCATATTTAAATAGAGATACTTTTACTCTCTCTTTGCAATTTGGATGCTTTTTATTTTATTTCTCACCTAATTACCAGGCTAGGACTTTCAGTACAGTGTTTATAGCAGTGGTGAAAATGGGAATTCTTGCCTTGTGCCTAATTTCAGGGAGAAAGCTTTCAGCCTTTCACCATTGAGTATGATGTCATCTGTGGGTTTTTCATAAATACCCCTGATTATAGTAAGGAAGTTCCTTTCTAGTTTGTTGAGTGTTTTTATCATGAAAGGGTGTGTGACATTTTATCAGATGTTTTTTCTGCCTCTCTTTATGTGATCATGCAGTTTGTTTCTTTTGTTGTATTAATATGTTCTATCACACTGATTGATTTTCTTTTGTTGAACCCACCCCTCCATTCCTAAGATAAAGCTCATCTGGTCATGGCGAATCACCCTTTCATTGTGCTGTTGCAATCAGTTTGCTAGCACTTTCTTGAGGATTTTTGCATCTCTATTCATAGAGGACACTGGTGTGTCGTTTTCTTATGGTGTTTTTGAGTGGATTTGGAATCAGGATAATTCTAGCCTCATAGAATGTGTTAGGAAGTATTCCCTCCTTTTCTGTTTTTTGCAAGAATTTGAGTAAGATCGGTGTTAATTCATTTTCAGATGTTTGGTAAAACTCATCTACTATCTGATTTTGGACTTTCTTGGAGATTTTGATTACTGATTCAGTCTCTCTGCTTGTTATAGATCTGTTGAGATTTTCTATTTCTTCTTGAGTCAGTTTTGATAATTTTTGTTATTTCTAGGAATTTATCTGTATCCTGTAGATTATATAATTTGGCATACAGTCATTCATAGTGTTTTCTTATAATCCTTTTAATTTCTGCAAGGCTCTAGTAATGTCCATACTTTATTTCTGTTATTATTTTTTTGGGTCTTTATTTAATAATTATTTCCTTTTTTATTGAGGTATAAGTGACATAGAGTATAATGTTTCAGGTGTACAACATAATTATTTGACATTTATATATATTGTGAAATGATCACCACTAGTCTAGTTACCATGTCACTGTACAGAATTAATATAGTATTATTGACTATATTCCCCATGCTGTGCATTGCAGCCCCATGACTTATTTATTATATAGCTGGAATTTTGTACTTCTTGATTCCTTTCATGTATTTGGTCCCCCTCCCAATACCTTTCCCCTCTGGGAACACTAACATACTCTCTGTATCTATGAGTCTTGGGTTTGTTTTGTCTTTTAGATTCCACATACAAGTGAAATCAGGTGGTACTTGTCTTTCTCTCTCTGACTTATTTCCTGAGCATAATCCTAAGATTATTCTTGGCTTGTCTCTCTCTCTCTCTTTTTTTCCCTTTTCTCATTTGTTTTGTTTCTTAAATTCCACATATGAGTAATGTATAGAATTGTTGAATCACTATATTGTATACCTGAAACTAATATAACACTGTATGTTAACTACACTGGAACTAAAATAAAAAAAAAACAACAATATTGTCTTCCAATCCATATATGTATATATTTTCTAGATACAAGTCCCTTATCAGAGACTATGATTTACAAACACTTTCTTTCATTTTGTGGGTTGTCTTTATTTTCTTGATGGTATCCTTTGAAACACAAAAGTTTAACCTTGATGATCAAGTTCAATCTATTTTTTCCATGTTGTTACAAATGGAAAGATTTCATTCTTTTTTTAATGATGAGTAGGATTCCGTCATATATATATACACATGTGTGCATGTGCGTGTATACACACCACATCTTCTTTATCCATTCATCCATCAATGGACATTTAGGTTGCTTCTACGTTTTGGTCATTGTAAATAATATTGAAATGAACATAGGGGTGCATGTAACTTTTCAAATTAGTGTTTTTGTTTTCTTCAAATAGATACCAAATAGTGGAATTGCTAGATCATTAATTGATGATCAGAGATTATTAGGGTCTCTTTCTTTGGAGTGAAAGAACTCTCCTAAAACTCTTTGTTGTTAACAGTGCAAAAATTTAAATAATTGTACTATAGTTAATGCCTTTAAGAAACCACACTGGATTTTTTTCAGATTCCAGGAAGAAAAGGAAAAGTAGATATTTGTGTTTTAAATCCAAAGTGTATCACTGTTGGTGAACTATATGGACAACTGGATCCTAATACTATGGAATGGACTGATGGATTATTATCAACAGCAGTTCGAAATTATGTATATTTTAACACTGCAAGGAACTCAAAGAAAGACAGCGATTTCAGACTGAAATCAAGAATCTCCGATGCATCTAATGTAAGTTAATATGGAAGGATTATTTTTATTTGATTATTGTGGATTACTTCATTGTTTAAAGATTGATATTTAAGCATTATTAGATACTTACCAGTATTAAAGTAAATTTAAAAATTATTATGATCAGTTTTTAAAAAGGAGAAAAATTAGAAGCTATTTAAAAAAGAGAAAATGTGACACTGTGCTTTAAAATGCTTGGTAAACAATAAAATAAAATGAAAGATTCTGGCTTTTAAAGTAACACAGAGTGGGTTAAGTGTAAGCGGAGGATGATCTAGTGATTCTGTCACCACCGGTATACCTTATAAATGAAGGAGGTATGAAAATACTTCACTGGAAAGGTGAAAAAGGTTTTGATACAAAATTCATCACAAAATCAACATAAATCGCAAACAAAAATTTGAATGTTGTATTCTCATTAGTTATAAGTAGAAATTACTAGTAAATTTCATTAGCCAAAATACATTAACAGAAGAATGGCATTTAGAACCAAACAGATAAGCAAAGATTTTTTTTTAAGTTTTTATTTAAATTCCAGTTAGCTAACATGGAGTGTCATGTTAGTTTCAGGTGTACAGTGTAGTGATTCAGCAGGTCCGTACCCACCCAGTGCTCACCACGACAGATGCCCTCCTTAGTCCCCTTTCCCTATTTCCCCCGTCCCCCCACCCACCTCCCCTCTGGTGACCAGCAGTGTGTTCTCTAGAGGTTAAGAGTCATTTCTTGGCTTGTCTCTCTTTCTCTCTCTCTTTTTTTCCCCCTTTGCCATTTGTTTTGTTTCTTAAATTCCACATATGAATAATGTATAGAATTGTTGGACCACTATGTTGTATACCTGAAACTAATGTAACACTGTATGTTAACTACACTGGAATTAAAATGAAAAAAAAATATTAAGTCTTCCAATCCATGTGTATTTTTTTTTCTAGATACAAGTCCCTTATCAGAGACTATGATTTACAAACACTTTCTTTCATTTTGTGGGTTGTCTTTATTTTCTTGACGGTATCCTTTGAAACATTACAGTTTTTAACCTTGATGAAGTTCAGTCTGTTTTTTCCTTTGTCACTTGTTTCTTCATACCTGAAGAAAACTTTGTGTAATTCAAGGTCAAAAGACTTTCTTCTATGCTTTATTGTAAGAGTTTTATAGTTCTCACTTTTATATTTAGGTCTTTGGTCTATTTTGGGTTGATTTTTGTGTTCAGTATAAGGAAGGGATCCCAATTCATTCTTTTGCATCTGAATATCCAGTTGTTCCAGAACTATTTGTTGAAAAGCCTGTTCTTTCCCACGTTGAATTGTCTTGTCACGCTTGTCACGCTTTTCAAAATCAACTGATCGTAAATGTAGGGATTTATTTCTAGACTCTCAATTCTGTTCCATTCATCTTTGTCTACCCTTATGCAAATGCCACGTTTGATTACTGGAGCTTTGCATTAAGTTTTGAAATAGAAAGCTAAAGTACTTTTTAAGACCTTGACAAACTGATTCTAAAATGTGTATAGAAGAACCAAGGTCCCTGATACTCCTGAATTAAAGAAACAAGGGGAAGAATCTGGATCTGCCAGATGTCAAGAATTATTATAAAATTGGGGTACAACAGTGTGCTCTCGGTGCGCACTGAACTATTATGTGCCTATGATGTAATGTAAAAATGTGTAGAGAAAACAGAATTTTGTAGAGAAATTGATAAATCACATTTAGCATGAGATTTTATTGCATCTTTCTCAGTAATTGATAGAGAAGGAATATAGTAAAGTGGCCGTAATTAAATTCTTTATACTAATTGTCACCAGTTAGAAGTGGAAATAGGAAAAATTCTGCTAACAGTGGCAAAAATCTATAAAAAATATATTGGAATAAATGTAAAAGAAAGGAACTTGTGATGGGGGTAGTAGGGAGGGAGGCAGGAATACCTATACAGTTGGCAAAAATTAAATAAATGAAAGAGATACTGTATTCCTGTGTGGAAAGACTTCTATCCTAAAAATGCCAATCTATACCAAATTATATATAGATGTAATGTCTTTCCAAGCAAAGTCCCACTTTAAAAAAATCTAATTAAATGACTTTAAAGTTCATTAGGAAGTATAAATGTTCCAAGAGTTCAAAGAAAATCTGGGCAGAAAACCATAGTGCTTTTGTATTTCTAAAATGTTCTATATTAATTTTAGAACAAATCCATACTGTAATCAAAACAGTGAGGTACAATATAGTACAGTGACCATAGCTAATAATACTGTATTATACATTCGAATGTTGGTAAGAAAATGGGTCTTTAGAGTTCTCACCACAAGAAAAAAAATATTTACCTATGTGTGGTGATGGATGTTAACTAGACTTATTGTGGTGATCATTTCACAATCTATACAAATATTGAATTCATTATATTGCACACCTGAGACTAATGTAATGTTGAGTGTTGAGTATATTTCAGAAAAAGGAAAAAAAAGATAGTACTTGTCAAAACCTGAATAAAAACCCTGGAACGTACTCACACAGAAATGGAACCAGACAGAGTCCAGAAACATTCAGATCTATATAGGAATTTACTGTGCTACTGAAGTAATATTTCTAATCAGCAGGAAAAGCATTCTTTACTGAATTCACTGTTTATATATAGTTTGCTATTTTCTGATGTGAAAACGTAGAAAGACCCTTAGCTCATTCCCTACCCAGAAATAAAATTCTAGGGGCACCTGGGTGGCACAGTTGGTTAAGCATCTGCCTTCGGCTCAGGGCATGATCTCCAGGTCCTGGGATCGAGCCCTGCATTGGGGGGGGGGGTCCCTGCTCAGCGGGGAGCCTACTTCTCCCTCTCCCTCTGCTCCTTCCCCCTGCTCTTGCTCACTCTTTCTCTCTCTCTGTCAAATAAATTTAAAAAGGAAAGGAGAGGAGAAGAGGAAGGAAGGAAGAAAGTTAAAAAGTTCCAGATGAAATAACCAACTAAATATAAAAATAAAATTATAAAAACATAATAATATTTAGGGACATAGTTTTAGAATTAGGAAGACCTTAACTAAAACTGGGAAAACCCAAAAATCATAAACAGAAGATAAAATTATTTGACTCTAAGTATAAGAAAATGTTTTTTTCAATAGTTGCAACAAACAGCTTCTTATTAAAGCAATCCGAAGTCTGGAAGAAAATATTTACAGCATCTTATAGGAGTTAGTGTCCCTGCTGTAGATGAGGTGCTGTAAGAAATAGACGTGAATAAGAAAGGATGGAACAGTTCGGGAGACGAGGAGGGCTGTGACTAGGACGTTGATAGAACACATGAAAATTGTGGACATATGAAAGATGCTCAGCCTAAGTATTAGTCAAAAAATAAAAATTGTAACAATGATAGGCGTCACATTTTTTCTCATCAGGTTTTCACAACAGAAGAATATAATAGCTGAAACATTTGGTGTGAACGAAAGATGTGGAGAAACAAACATTCCTACATCTTCTTGGTGGGAGTATTATTGTCACAAACTAAAAGAGAAATCCAGTAGAATTTATTAAAGACTAAAATCCAGAGAACATTTGACCCATAATCCCACATTTAAAAAAAGAATCTAGAGAAAGAAATGCAGTAGAGCATAATGACTTAGGTACAGGGCTGAGAAGTGCAGACTTTTGCAATAGAAATAATCATTGGAGATAGCCTTGTCCTGATGAGCCTTGAGTATTAGAAGTGGCTGGCTACCGTCTGTTGAGTTGCAAGGCCTGGGCCGAAGCATGGTGCTCACTCCTGTGTGAGGTCTCTCTGTGGAGCCCACTCTGTGCCCAAGGCATTGCTCTAGTGTTTGGTCGGCTTCCCCTACTCTTGGGGGCAAAGAAAACCAGTGCTAATCAGCTGATGATGTGGAACTCAACCCTGTTGAGGAGATAAATAATAAAGTCCCCCAGATAATTAAGACTTTCCCTTTTTTATACTCAAGAGAGCATATTGACATATAGTCCATTGGAATTGGAAAGCGTGATCAAATTAACATTATTGATTACATATTTTAGGTTTTCCAACTCGATTTCTCTGATGCAGCAGATACTGACGTTAAGATATTTGAGAAGGAGGAGGGGAAAGATGTTAACATTCCAGAAAGTCAGGGTAAGTGTTATTATTAGATTCAATAAAGTGATTGATTAACTGAGAAGACAAACTGAACCAAAGAGCTTTATTTCTATCTTTAAAAACATTTTGATTAATGATATTTTGTTCTTGTCCTATGTATTTTTTCTGAATTTGTTTATTTAGAATTTGGGTACTGTTACCACATCCTATGGTATGTTCATCTACAATTCTGTTATAGAAGCGGTAGGTCTCATATAACCCTTTCAGTTTCTAAAGCAACATTAGTATCTTCCAAGAACCAAGTAGATATTAAAGTTAGAAGTGATATTGTGTGGAAACCTAACTAGTGTTGCCTCTGAAGTGGGACTCGAGACAATGTGCCTATTCCCAGGCCAAGTACTACAACCCAAGCATACTCCTCTAAAAACAATTGCACACTTGCTGTGTGTGTGCGGGGGATGGACAGCCTGTGCGGGTGGGGGGGGGGCTTCTGCTCCAGAGGAGGGGGCAGGGTGCTGCTGGAGCCCCACCCCCACCGGTGCTTTCACGGCCCCATGGTGACCCTCTAGCCACACATTCATGCTGAAAGAGGCTTCCAGAAGTCCTCCATTGTGTGTCCCTTCTTAGGGTTCAGGTTGGGGAGCACAGTCCTTGAGCACAGCAAGCTCCCTTCCAGGGTTTGAAGACAGGCCCCAAGGCGCCTATGTCAGCCAGTCTGGCCATCCACACCCTGGCTGTCCTCCCTCGTCTGCTGGGCTCTCATGTCCTTCAGGCGGCTCACTATTTTCTACGGCCACAGTGACCCCCACGTTCCTCTCCTAGCTTGACCAGTGCGTTTTCTAGAACTGTGGAGCAGGGCGGTGCCTGTAGCAATGGAAAGAGGAGTCAGTGGGGGCACAGTGTGAGCTACCTGAAATCTTTTTGAGTCTTTCCTTGAAGGGCGTCTACTTCCCTTTCCTATTTCCCGGAGGCGGCACATCCGCACAGTGTCCAGATGGAAGGGGAAACTCACCGCATTATTATGGAAAAGAGAAATCCGTGGATCTTCTCTTATCCAGAATCTAAGGGCTGATTATACAATGCAGTAATCTAAGAATATTGAAACAATGTTTCGAGAATTACTAACTATATGCTGTGGATAGTTATTTTTATTTAATAAATATTAGAGACTGCATATAAACATATTTGGTCTAGTGTTTTCTAGGATATCATTTTCCAAATGAAATAGAAAATTTGCAAGATTGTAATAAAAGAAGACTGAGATTATTCTCAGTTACCTTAAAAATATCTTTCTCTGCAGACTATGATTGGCAGTGGATTATTTTAGATGGTCCGGTGGATGCGTTCTGGGTAGAAAATCTAAACTCTGTGCTGGATGATACCAGAACATTATGCCTGGCAAACAGTGAGAGAATTGCCCTAACTAATAAAATACGAGTGATTTTTGAAGTGGACTGTCTGTCTCAGGCCAGTCCTGCTACTATCAGCCGATGCGCAATGGTCTATATGGTAAGTTTCCAAAAATACATTTCTTAAAGAAAATGTATTGTTAGTCATTATCTACAGCATTTCTGATGATTGTTCTGTCGTTGCCCCTGGACTCAGCAGGGTGATCGCAGTGGTTCAGTTTTGTGTCCCCTGAAGCCTCCTAACCCAGAAGTGAGTATGAGCATAATTCCAACTGCTCCGTACCTGCAGGGTCCGTGTTCCCCACAGCGGTGAACGAGTGCGGCCCTCGCTAGGCCGTCCAGGCCGCGGGCATGGGTTATTTCCCCAGGAGAGAAATGACTGCCCCGAAGCCTTTTTGCTCATGCTCTCTGACCCTCAGACCTCGCGGAACCCAGTACCCTGGTGTGGGGGATGGAAGACACCACAAAGACTAAGTTTCTTCTCTCCAGGACATTAATTACCAGCCACGACTAGCCCTGTGTTCTGACCCGTTTAGCTCACCATGGTGAAGCTACATGCTGCCTTTCCCGTCACTGCGGACACAGGACCTTAACGCTCCCGCCTCCACGCAATCCCCCAGTTGCTTCTAGTCTTGTAAGACTGTGGTCACAAACCACACATCGTTTCAGAGATGGGTCATTCTTTCTTTTTTCTTTTTTTTTTTTTAAATTTAAATCCAATTAATTGGCGTATAATGTATTATTGGCTTCAGAGGTAGAGGTCAGTGATTCATCAGTGCTCATTCCATCACATGCCCTCCTTCATGCCCATCACCCAGCTACCCCGTCCCCCCACCCCCCACTCCTCCAGCAACCCTCGGTTTGTCTCCTATGATGAAAAGTCTCTTATGGTTGAGACAGGTCATTCTTTAAGCTATTTTGATCAGTTGCACTTTAACGAATGATGATTCTGAACCATATTTTCCCAGGGGCAGTGGTGAAGTAAAGAAATGGTAAGAAAGAAGATGGACACTGTATTTTTCTTTATTTACATAAACTTATCTTGTGCTTTATATTGTTAGGATCCTGTTGATTTGGGATGGGAGCCTTATATGAAGTCATGGCTTTTGAAAACTTCTAAAATTATGAGTCAAACAGGAGTGAGTTGTCTTGAATTCATGATGAAAAATAGTGTTGCAGATGGACTACAGTTTATAAAGAAGTATCAGAAACATCAGCCATTTCCTGTCCAGGGCGTAACGATCGTTATAACTCTGTGCAGAATTCTTGATGCTTTCTTTGACTTCATGGGTAAAAATGGAGGCTTTGGAAAATGTGAGTTTTTCCCCCTTATGTTAGTGGTCTTGTATCCCAGCTCATCAATGCCAATTATATTCATCACCTTCTATTGAGTTTTATAAAAGAAAACAAAGGAAGGAACACTGGGAATTTTAAGTCTGTTTGAACCAACAGCAGACATGCACATGGAACAAACTAGAAACCGTTTATAAAGGAGCACATCAATAAAGTAAAGTGATATCATATGTTGAAGTGTCACAAGAAAAATGAGTATAAGGAATCCCAAGAGGGTCTCTATTAGGGAAGAATGCTTTTGAAGATTCTTAGAGATAGAAATAGTGGGGAAGATGTGTCCAGAACCCAAGGTGTAAACTCTAATCATGCAAAGGTGTAAATGTGGAAAGTAGCATGAGGTGAGAGCAAAAGATTCAGAAAATAGTATAGCATTATGGGTAAAGGCATAGTCTCTGGACTCAGGACGCCTACCTTCAGACACTGGTTCTTGTCCGACTCCCAACAAGATGGGTAATTAGTACAGGCTCCCAACTCTGCCTCCAAAACACAGTTTGCGATCCATCAAACTAACAGACATTGTGAGAAATCCCTGGGACGACAAGATGTTTAAGGTCCCTGTTGGGGGAGCAGCAGTCCTGAGCAGAAGAGAGCTGGATACCATGGCTGGGAGAATATTTACGTGGGCCCCTCCCCTTTTCACGGCTCTGAGCGGACCGTCGGCCTTCCCTTTGTGGGTCAGCACGCCACAGCCCAGCTAGAGGCAGCAGGAACACAGCGTGTTGGCAGTGACGCCTGACTAGGTTAAGGAACAGCTACAAGCATATTTCTTCCCACTGCCAATCTCCTTTGCATCTTAAAGTCTACGTGATTAAGAGAAAGAGGCTGCATTTGAAAAAGAGCAGTGTCACTGTGGATACAAGTTGTTAGCACACAACTTTCCTGCTGGAAGAGTGTCCACTTCCTCTCCAGATGCACAATTCTAAATTCATCAGAAGCATAAGCCAGGGAAGTGGGAGTACTAGAAACAAGGCAAGAAGGAGTTAAGAGGAGGAACATAGTAAATGGTTGAATGCTGACGTGGTTAGCTGGATGACAGCTCAGCCTAAGGGTTCTCCCGGATCACAGCGCACGAGCGAGGAAATACCACATCTGCGGAACTAACTAGAAGTAGTCATTTACATAATATATGCATGTGTGTATGTTTATGTGTGGGTGAGGGTGTGTATTTAGTTAAAAGATGAATAAAAGTTGAAAGCGTAGCATCCATATAACAGAACCTCCAAAAAGAAATTTTTTAAAATAGAAGGGAGGAAATATTTCAAGAAATAATTACCAAGTTGTTCTAGAATTTGAGAAAATATAAGACCTAAGATTGAATAGGAGCCTGGACTATTAAATAGATTAGGAAAGTAAAAACTCACACCTAGAAGTATTATATTGATATTTTGTCATCCCCCCCCCCCAAGTTCTTGGATGCTCTGTTCTTTTGGTTTGTGGGACTTTTTTGTTTGTTCTTTCTTCGTATTTCAGTTTGAATAACTTTTGTTGATTTATAATCCAAGTCACTGATTCTTTGCCACATGCAGTCCCCTGGATAAGCCCATTGGAAGAATTCTTATCTCTGTCGTTGTGATTTCTATTTCTAGCATTTCCATTTGACTCTCTTTTTATAGTGCTCAGTGGTCTGCTGAAATTCTCTGTTCATTTTACGTCAGATGTTTAACAATTTGTAGCTGTTTTAAATTCTCGACACCTGGGCCATGTCTGGATCTGTTCTATTGACTGCTTCGTATCTTGGCAACAGGACTCTTTTTCATGCCTATTTTTGTGTCTCATAATGTTTTTTTGAATGCCAGAGATTGTGGGGAAAGGAAGAGTAGAGACAGGTGTATTGAGTTTATACCTGGAAATGGTTATACTTTTTCTTCTGCCAGATTGTTGAGTTAATAGCGGGGAGAGTTGAGTCTGTCTGGACCAGGACTTGGCTTTATTGGTGCTTATAGTTACCTTCGGTGCACCACAGACTTCAGAGTCTCTGTGCTCCCCCACGTCCCCTGGAGATAGATGGCTGTTGTTGTTACTTCCTGTAAGGCTCACAGTGGGAGCAGGGATGATTTCTAGGTTCTCCTACTCTAGCCTCATTCTAAGGCGGGCTCTGGGCACCTGAGCCTCAGGCCTGGGGTTTCTCAGCAAAGAAACAATTTGTTGTGATTTAAGACTATCTAAGATTAAAGGGAGATTCTAAGAAATTCCAGAGAGAAAAAGCCAAAAGGATTATAAGAACAGTTTAACACAAGATTTCTCAACAGCAATACTGATTAAGGGAAAAAATATCTTATCTTCAAAGCATTGTATATTTAGCTAATTAAACATATTCTCAGATATGCAAAGCCTGAAAAAGTTTAACACAAGAGACTTAAGGAGTAAGTACTGCAAGAAATGGATTAAGGAGAATTATATGAGATACTGAAGTTAGATGTGATTAAATAATTTAGTAAAACTTAATGCAACCAAAGTAAGCAAAGAACACTTCTCAGAAGTATTAACATAAAAATTCAGAACAAAATTTAGACAATTACAACATAAAGTGGATAGGAAGGGAGGAAGTGGGGCAGTTCAAAGAAAGCTGAGAGGGAATGATTATCTGCATTGTTTGAGGAAAAAAACAGAAGCAAAGTCTAAAAAGTGACAGAGAAAAATAAACATAAGTATAATCTTAATGTGTTAGGAGTAAGCCTCAGAGTAATAATAAAATCCATAGTCAGCTGGGCATCCGACTCTTTGTTTCAGTTCACGTCGTGATCTCAGGGTCGTGGGATCGAGCCCCCAGTCAGGCTCCACGTTCAGCAGGGAGTCTGCTGGAGATTCTCTCCCTCTGCGCCCCCCACTCAGGTTTGTTTTCTCTCTGTCCTTGAAAGTAAATAAATAAATCTTTTTTAAAAATAATAAAATCCATAGCTTTAAATATGCAAAAGAATATTCCTTACAACAGAGGGTAGCAAAGGAAACCAAAAAGAAATTTGAATAACAAAAAAATTGATCCAACTTTAACAATAATTACGATAATAGGAGTTAAACTCCCTCATTTAAAAGAAACTGATTTCAATTTGTTTTGTAGTTTCTATTTTATTTCAAGTTTTTATTTAAATTCTAGTTAACATATAATGTCGTACTTGTTTCAGGTGTAGAATTGAGTGACTGATCACTTATCACACCCAGTGCTCATCACAACAGTGCCCTCCTTAATCCCCACCCCCCATCTAGCCCATCCCCCCACTCACCTCCCTCCATCAGCCCTCAGTTTGTTCTCTATAGTCAAGAGTCTTTCATGGTTTGCTTCCCTCTCTCTCTTTCTTGAAACTGATTCAATTTTAAAACAAATAGTAACTTTTTCTCTACAAGTATCATTAAATCAAAAGGATACAAATGGAGCTGCCACTTTGGTTAAACAGTTTGGCAGTTCCTCTAATGTGAAACATAGTTACCATTTGACCCAGCAGTTCCACTCCTAAAAAAATACACCCAAAAGAAATGGAAATGTGTCCATGCAAAAAGTTGGACACAGATGTTTATAGCACCACTATTCATAATAGCCAAAAAGTGGAAACAAGCCAAATGTCTGTTAAATGGGTAAAGGAAGTGTGGTTTATCCACACAATGTATATTACTGGGCCATAAAAAGAAATGAAACATTGATTACAGGCACAGTATGGATGAACCTTGAGAACATTATGCTAAGGGAAAGAAGCCAGTCACAAAGAGCATACACTGTATGACTCCATTTCTATGAAGTGTCCGGAATACGCACACCTTACGTAGGTTGTACTGCTAGAGGTTGGGGGAGGGAGGAAATAGGCAGTTCTGCTAATGGCTGTAGAGTTTCTTTTTGGAGCGATGAAAACATTCTAAAATTATAGTGGTATTGTCTGCACAACTCTGATTCTACTAAAAGTCACTGAGCTGTGCATTTTTAAAGGGGGAATTCTATATTATATGAATTATATCTCAATCTATTATTTACAAAGATGAACATGGAATGGCTGGGATAAGGGGTCGAAATAAGATACATAGTGTAAATAAAAAGCAAGCCAATCTGTCAACTTAAAATATCAGCCCAAATTTTATTTTAGCATGAAAATTGTCTTAAGCAATTAAAAGATTAAGACCTATTAAGAACATTTAGAGATATATATTCCAGATTATGATACATACACAGCCACATGGAGGGAGGGGGAGAGAGAGGGGAAATATATAAACAACAGAAGAACTAAGTGTTAAATAAGCAAATCGGTAATCACAGATACTTTAGCAGCCCCTCTTGGGAGGCCTCCCAGGTAAGCATACAGAGAAATTCTTACATCCTGCAGCTGAAGGGAAATGAAAACTCCAGGCCAGGACTTGTTCATCAGAGTGGCCATGCTTTAAAAATGACCAACCCTGACACTCAGGGTGGAAGCATCTGAGCAGACATCACCCCAAATACTGAACCCCCCCGCAGACTCAATTCTCCAAAGTGTGTGTTACTAATAGGTTCAATGCTGGTGGCTCTGGAGACCAGAGCAGACAGCAGGGGCGACCATTACTGAACTGGTCTCACTGGAGGGCCTAATGGAGCGCTTACCTCCAGAAACCAGAAGAATTCAACCAAGCAAGGGTGGGGGAGGCAGAGATGATTCTCAGAGTTATTAAGATATTAGTAGAATAAGATACTAAGATAAGTAATTAGTAGATAGTAAGATATTAGTATCTAATATATTAGATCATATTATATATTAGATATTAGATTAGGTATTAGATTGTATTAGATGTTAGATTAGATAGTAGATAATGAGATATAAGATAGTGTCTAAGATATTAGATAGTAATATGTTAGGATAAGTTATCAGTAGAATGTAGCATCCCTAGGGGCAAAATATATGGGCAACGAACTAGGTACCATCAGCTTGTATTATGAGCAGAAGTCCAAGATGAGTGATCAGGAGGTGAGGATAGCTGTCTCAATAATAAGTCAGGATCCCCAG